TCCTGGATGCCATTCGGAAGACGTTTTTTCCCCATCCTTGGGCTTCCCAACACCTCAAGAAATGGTCTGTACCTCTACAGTGACTGGTGTGGTAGATCCGACCAGAGCCCTGTTCTGTGGCGGCCAAGTCTGTTTGACTTCAGTGTTCCCTTTCAGAGCAGTGGGCACGGCTTGGCCTTCCCCAGTTCCACATGTGGGCCAGGATGAAGACTAGCAGTGCAGCAGGATAACCAAGCCGGCCAGAAAGGGGGCAGCTATAGGCAATGCGAGGAAATCAGGTGTGCCAAGGAGGAAGCAAGGGTCCTGGTGGAGAACATAAACCCAAGGAAGCCTGCGTGGTGGCAGCCGGAAGGGTGTGCCAGCACCAGTAAGGCAATTTGGAGATCCTCCAGGAAGCAGTTTTCAGGAGACGCTTGTAAAAAGTGGTCTCTGCATCCCTCCACTTAGGCTTGGAAGTCTGCCCACCTAGTACATCCTTCTGGCTCCCCCAGACTCTCTTCCTGTGTCTCTCCAGTGAACGCTTCACCCCCTCCTTCTATGGCACCCAAGGAACCTTGGTTAAGCCAAGCCGCTTCCCAAATGATTGTGGTGTACGTAGTCTAGCGGGCTGAAAGGGAAGCGCTGTGCCAGGCTCAGGAGCCGGGGCCTGTGCAGGCTCCAACACACAAACCCGGCTCTACTAGCCCTACAGGCTGCTCCCCAAATCCGAGACACAACAAAGACTAAGAGTCTAGCACATTTTGGCCTTAGTGGCCCCAGCCCCCTTTCCAGGGCTGTCCCTATGCAGTTTAATCTCTTCCTTTCTGGGGTTGTCTGGGGGTCTTCCTGGCTCCAGTCTAAGTTGGGTCACAGGTCTGCAGGCCTGTCCTTCTCTCTCAGGTGAGCACACACAGGAGACCTCGATCTCCGTGTCCGCTGCCCTGCCCTCCCCACCATCCTTTGATTTTAGCCTTTGTTTGAAGGCGGGTCCCAACGACAGCATCAGGAGCCTAGAGCTGCTTGCCTCCCGGGTGGAGGCATTTCTGCCCAGCATCCAAAGCCCGGGGTGTGGGCCTCGACTCCCGCCAGGGTGCGGGGCTGACCAGGCCTGATTTTGCTAGGACGGAGAAGTCTCTCTCTGGAGCTGCTCCACCGAGCGACCGACGAAGACCTCGCACTCGCTGCTTTCGTTATTTCCGGCAGTTCCCGCACCACCTAGAGCAGCGAGGGCAGTGCAGGATGGGCCGAGAAAGCTACCTTCTCGGGGTTCCGTCTCCAGAAAGGGGACAACAAACCACAACAAAACAAAAAGCCTGCGACTGCTGGATGCGCAGCCAGGCTCCGGCATCTGCGGCAGCTGCTTTCGATTGCAATCCGCTTCAGAGTTACTAAGTACGCTGTGTGGACGCTGCTTTCCCCTTTGTACCCTCGGAGGCCTCTCTTTGTCCGCTAGTCTTGGACACAGCGAGCCGAGTTCCATGTAAGCGGGTGCTTTGCGGGCCCACTGTTGGTCCCTGGTACATGCTGAAAGGAAACGGTGTTCCGAGGCCGCAACGGCCAGAAACGCTCCAAGAGGGACAGATGGCCGCTGCTGGTTCCTCTAATGGAGCACGGAGGTCTGCGGACGTGGGGCGCTGAAAGCCGAGAAGAGCCCGCGCAGCGCACTGGCTGAGCCGAAGAAGCTAGGGCGCTAGCGTCTCCGCATCTCAGACTCAGGGTAGAGCAGATCTGGAAACGTGTCCTTCAAGGTACCCCGCAAAAGCACCGCCACCCCTATCCCAGAAGGCGTAAAAGGCCAGACTGAACCCCCAAAACACACTAGAAGCCTCTTGAAAGCCGGATCGCTATTTGTGACACTTGGAATTTCCCCAACCCCAAGGTACTATGGCTTGAAGTACCTTCACCTCAGCTTCGCCCATTGGAAAGGGCCCGGCCCTTTGCTTGGAGCCGGTTCTTAAGGGTAACTCTTTCCTAGAGTTTTCATTTGGGGTAGCTCCATAAACACCTCGGTATTTGTTTGGGGGTTCCTCTATCCTTTCTTCACAGTTCCGCCTTCTACCTTCAGCCCCTCCCTTCCTGGGAGCACCCTGAGAACTCGCCTCTGTTCTTGGCTTAGCTGGGCTTGCTCTGGGAGACCCAGACCCAGGAACAGCCTAGGTCCTGGAGGCAAGGCTGTTCTGAGGGTTTATGTTCAATTTGAGTCCAGGGCAAGGAAAAAGAGTACAAAGTGCAGCGCCTTTGGCTTATCTAATGCTAGAGCAATCTATCCGAGGCTCCCAAGAAATGAGAAAATACACCAGATGAGGGCCTGTTTTCATGGGACAGGTAGGAAAACGGACTTGGTGCAGGAATGTCTGAGCTCTAGCAGTCCATATGTCGTCTAGTTTAGGAGACAAGAAGAAATCAGAGCGTTCATTCACTGGCTCAAGTCCCCAAGTCATAAAATGGTTTTGTTCATCTCCGCTCACTGGTCCCATGTTCATGGAGGCAGGTAGACGATAAGGTTTCTCCATTCTCTTTCTCTGCCCTGCTCTGTCTCTCACTAGGAAGGACCCAACAGGTATTTTCCTAGTCAAAAATTTTGGTGAGGCTGCTGGTGGTGGCACATGCCTTTAATCCCAGTACTCCAGAGGCAAAAGCAGGTGGATCTCTGTGAGTTCAAGGCCAGCCTGGGTCTACAGAGAGAGTTTCAGGACAGCTAGGACAGTTATACAGAGAAACCCTATCTCAAAAAAACAAAACAAAAACAAACCCAACAACAACAAAAACATTAGTGAGGATGCCTTCAAAGGAGAAAAATAGAGACAGGAGGAGACACACCCTTCCCCCTGAGTGCCGAGTGGCTTCTCCACTTAGACACCCAGTCTGTCTTTAGCACCTACCCAGACCAAGTGTGAGAACTGGTGGGAGTTGTCTCTGTGTGCTAACATTCCCTGGAGCAGCCTTTGGGAATCACTGCCTCGGGTGAAGCCTGCCAGGTGGACAATGTGCACAAGGAGGTCATGGCTGAGTGTGAGTCCAAGTCCAGACACAACCGCCAGCAAGGTGCACGTGCCCTAAGTCCGGAGAAGCTGGCAGGCCTCCACGCCTGGGCGCTGCTAGCCATTATCCTTGCCCTTCACCAGGACCTGGCAGCTCCTTGCAGGTGCCACCTGAGTTCAGGTGTGGTGGCCCACCAGGCAGAGTGTCTGAGCAGCAGCAGCCTGGGGCCAGTCACCCAGCAAGGCAAGTCTGGGGCCTCCCTCTGCTCTGATCCCAGGCTGTGTGAGGACTTTTATTATTATTCCAGCACTCCTGTGCCCTCTCAGCTGCCCTTCTGGGTGTTTCTCAAAGTTAATAAATTTCCATTAAAGTGCTTTTTTTTTTTTTAATGGACAGGCGAGCCTGTAGTAACCAGTATGTTTGGTGGGGGAGAAAGGCAAACTGGAAGGACCCTGGGGGAGGTGGGAGGAAGAGAATAGAGAAGGGCCGTTCTGTCAGCAACTGGGGAGAAGTTTAGAGGGGGAATAAAGACAAGAGAAGGGGAAAACAAATTGGGGCCCCCACCCTGTCACAGCATCCCCATTCTTTCAAATTAGCCTTGCTTTCCTGCAAAACCAGCTTAAATGTTTTAAGACAAAGATAAAGAGATGGGTGGCCTGGTAGCTCAGTGTAGGCGTTGGAGAGTTCTAATGACGGTGTGTGTGTGTGTGTGTGTGTGTGTGTGTGTGTGTGTGTGTGTGTGTTGTGCCAAACTGCCAGCACAGCTGCATTCGGGAACACTTCGGCTGCGGATGGTTTTGAAGATTGGTCTAAGCAGTCATCACTCCTGTTTCAGATAGAAGACTGTGTTACAGCCCTTCTCAAATCGTTCCTTTATTCCTTCCTTCCTTAAACCGAGCCCTAAATTGTGCTCGCGTAGATAAAACTCTATGTTTGAGTTGCCGAGGCGCCGCTGTCCACGGGTGGAATCCTTCCGTATGCACGCGCCTCCCTCGCAGGCACAGGCATGCATGCTGAGAGCAGGCGTCTGTAGGAGGAGCACCCCGCGTTCTCGCCTGCCGATTAGGACTGGATGCTGCTGGATAACGAAAGTCAAATGTAAGTGACAATTTTCCCCTCCACCAGCAAGGAAAGCGGGTTACAAACCTCCCTTTGTATCTTGGTAGCTCATTTAATCTTATTTATGCATTTTTGTGCAAGGAATTGTGGGATCTCTCCCCACCGTAAACAATATAGGAATGTTAAAAATAACGGTCTTCCAGCGCCTGTCCACTTAGGCAGAGCAGTGACCTGGCGACACTGTCACAAGGTTCCGCAGTTTTCCGAGCCGGGAGGAGACCGGAGAAGTACTAACGAGCAGAGCGCCGGATCTGGCTAGGTTACCGGCTCCCGCGCCCGGAGCCCTGAGCGCGGCCGCTTTAAGGGGGGGGAGGGGAGGCGGCGGCGGGGGAGGGGCGGCAGGCGGTTCCTGTCACCAAGCTGCCGCCGGCGGGTCACGTGGATGCGCGGCGCGGCGGCCATTGGCCCGAGGCACGTGTCCAGGAGACCGGCCCGCGACGTCACTCGAGGGGGCTCTGTTAAAAATAAGAACAAAAATCCAGAGTGAAAGTGTCTCAGGTTGCGCTAAGTGGCCTGAAAATTTTCCCGAGCCCGCGCGGAAGCCGAGGCGGCGAGGGCGCGCAGACCGGGAGGGAGCGCGGGAGGCCCAGTCCCGCCCGGCCTCCCGCCCCTCACCCATGCGGCTCTGGCCGCGGGACTGCGCG